AAAAAAAAACCTTCCGATCCTGTATGCCAACTACTGTGGCTTGCAACCCCATGTTCAGTGGATCGCCACGTGCCTTCCACTGCACTAGTTGAGCGGCTCCTCTGCCTCCCCGTAACACAGCACTGTCAGTTCTCGTGCCGAGCAGCCATTTTTAAAATATGCTGCCCGGCACGAGTCAGCTTGATGTGGGGTGGGCTGGGGGTATAGGTTCGAGGGAGCTTTTTCCATAAATGCATTGCATACAGCTCCCTTGCGTACAGCTCCCTGTAGAGGTGCCTGTGAGATTGTGTCTGTCAGTGTTCTTGAGAGCCTCTTCACACTAGCACAGTACTGTGTGGGAGGTGTGTTGCATTGCCTTCATTTCAATGGTACCCCAAATGCACATCTTGCCCACAGTTTGTTTGCCATCACCTGGACAACTGCTTTAGTGCATTGTTTCACAGCATATGAAAACTACTATTTTATTTAGCTATGGGGTTCTCGTATATGCACTTACATACAGTGTTCCCTGCAAAAACTTTACAGAAGTTTCTGACTGTTAAATCTTGCACATTTGTAGCGGTAAAATCAATGGCGCCACTTGCGTAAACATGTGCTTATTTTTTTTTGTGGTGCGTTGGCAGGCCACTCGTAATGACTGAGCTACCTTAATGCAAAGCATGTGCGCCTCAGGATGCAAACGTATAAATCCACTGTTTAGGGTCCATTCACACCAGATGTATTGGGGGTAGTGCTGGCCACTTGTTCCAGCGCAACCTCAACACCAGACAAGGCAATTTGCCTGGTTTCAGATGGGCTCAGTTCACAGCACCGCACTACAATAGTGTGCACTGGAAAAAAAATGCAGCATGCAGTATTGTCACTTGTGCCATTTTCAATAAAGTTCTAACAAAAAAAGTAATGCGTTGCGATCAGTGCATCAGCATTATTATCATTATACAGGATTTATATAGCGCCAACAGCTTGCGCAGCGCTTTACAATATAGGGAAGACAATACAAGACAAGATGGTAAGGAGAGCCCGGCCCGTGAGGGATTACAATCTGTGCCGAGCAATGCACACCAGCAGCAGTATGTTGTAGTGCGGCTGCTGGGGTGAATGGGCCCTTAACACTCAATCAGCCCATTTTATAAAGCAAGTGTGCTTTTGCGCTTCCCTGGTTTTGGAACTCTGAAACATTAAAGTCTGAATTCATAAAAAAAAAAAAACACTTTTATTTATCAGAAATGTAAAAAAATATTTACCACCCACAGCATACATCTTCAATCACTGGGGGTAATTAAGGATTTCTATGGGTTTCGGCTAGGGATGTTCAGATACCAGCGCCGATACTTGGCATTTCCATGAGAACTACCAGGGTTGCAGCTGTTTGCCACTGGGACCTGGCTCTGGCGCTCCACCACTGTCCTGAAATCATTAGTCTGTATTGTTTTAGAAAAAACTGTCTCATGACAAACAAACAAAATGTATCAGTACTTGTATCTGTGAGTACTTGGACAAGTATCAGTACTTGTATTTGGGGAAAAAATGGTATCGGGGCATTGAGATTATATATATATATAATTACTTTAAAACAGAGCTTCACAAATCCCATGCGCTCTATATGCTCCTTACAAATGACCGCTGCCTCCTAACGGTTTAATTTTTCTCCTAGTCTAGTCTTGGAGCTGGAAAAGTATCTGTACTTGTACCGAGTGCGGTAGTTGGTATCTTAACATCCCTCGGTTCTGCAAATAATACAGGCATGTTAGCATTGTATTTGACAAAAAAGTTTAGTGACTTGCTAGTAAAAAAAAAATTCACATAAATAAATTAGTTGTAACTTAACATACTACTAAGTGACCTGTGCGTGCCATAGTACACAGAAGATGACCCCACAGAGGTAATTATCTCTTAATATGTACAAAGTAAAAGTTGAAATGATCCAAAAATGTTTAAAACTGTCTAAGTCACAGACTTCCTTCCCCTTGTATGTGTAGCTCTTTCAAAGTCTTGAGTATTTGATTGACAGCTGGTTGCATCTTTGTGTTCACCTTCAATGCTCGCACGCTCTCTTGCAGCATACTTAACTGACTCTGAAGTTTGGCATTTTCGGCAGCAAGCTGCGAGTTGGTGCAGTGCAATCCGGCATTCTCCATTAACAAGTGATCCTTCTCCTGCAACCACAAATCCATCAATATATTAGATGCCTATGAAACATATTTTAACAAAGCAGTTTAAAAAACAAAATGCACAGTGCTCAACCAGGACTGCATGTACACTATAGGGCTAAAGGTTTATGGACAGCTGGCCATCACACCTACAACTATATGGCCATAAGTATGTTGACACCTGGTTTTCAATGAAGGGTACTTGTATTAAAGCACAACTCCTCCTTCAGTTTTTAATCAGCTTAGTACTTTTGTGCTGCATCAAAACAAAAAGTGTTCAGTGCCTTACAATTTTTGTTTTCTTTTTAAAACACAGCCACTGCCTGAATAGAACAGCCTGTCCCCTGCCAGGAGCTGCAGAATGGGACCTTTGCGCTTTGTATGGAAGCAGTAGTCTCATTGCCAAGGTCTAGTCTCGATGCACCCCTCTATGGAGTTAGACCTATAACTGCAATCAGCATAGGTTATGCTCCACGCCGATTGGAGAGCTCTGGCCCTGACCTAGTTGAGAACATGTCAAACCTCTGCAGAGAGACCAATGCTTCAATACAGAAAGCAAGGGTCCCTCGCTGCAGCATGCTTGTAAGGAACATGCTCTTCCAATGAAGCTGGCCATACACCTATAGATTAACTGCAGATTTTCTATGGTCAGATGGAAAAAGTGCAACAGATTGCTCCATCTACGCTAAACTGCAGGGATGGAGGAAGGGAGCAGTGACTGTCAGTCACCGCTCCCTGCAGAGATTCCCCTCTTGGATCCTCCAGCGCTAAGTGGAGGAATGGACAGGGGAGGGGGCGGGCACAGCTGGCTCTGCCTCTAGATAGACAGAGCCAGCTGTCACTCACACAGTTAGGTGGATCTTGACAGTAAAGTCGGGATCCGTCCTGGCTGCGGCACTCGCAGTATATCGCGGGCAATAGCTTGCGATATACTGAGCTTTGGGTCACCGGGAGGACGCTAGTATATGTCCTCCTAAAGTGACCTATGTGACCCTAAAGAGAACTATGGGGAAAAACACTTACCCCCATAGTTCTATTTTAAAGCAAGGACTTCTTCAGTGCTGCAATTCCACATTAGCCACTGTACTCTCAATATGATCATACTGTAATGAGATAATTCCAGTGTGCTTAAACCTGTAAAAGTCAGCGCTCCCTTCCCCATTGTCATGTTGGCTTCAGTTCTTTCTCTAACCTTTTCCATCTCTCTTTGCTGTTTTTTCAAGGAAATTGTGGTCTCGCAGTTTCCGTCACAGTTGGGCTTGACATGAGTTGGATCTTCTGCAGCAACAGGACAACCAGAATCTGAGGTGTCATCTGTCTGACATGCTTTTTGTCTTAGACTTCTTGTTTCATTGCTGGGTCTAGATGTCCAGCTCTGTGTACCATCCTTGTGCAAACCTGAATGCAGAGTTCAATCATAAATAAAAGAGCACTAAACTAGATCTAAATTATGCAGAGCTTGTTAATATGACTACGATGGGTGGAGTCAATACATAGGACCTATATACAGTATAGGACTCATGGATAATAATGACACTTGCATTATATATAGTGTGCGTGCGTGCACACACACACAATATATATATATGTGTAGTTGATGGGCATAGACCCTGTTTCAGACATTTTTTTTAAGTTAGATGGGACTTGGGGACAACAACAACACAACCTTTATGCAGTCTGCTTAATAGAAAGAATTGAAGGCTTTAGTGATCACTCATCTTTTGACCTATAGTGAGTCTTGAATAGGATCAAAAGTAATTCCCGTAAACTAAATAGTCTACCAGCCACAAGTTTAAATGACCACTAGAATTCAGACAAAACTGGCCAATAAATTGACCGCCTCAATACGATTTGTTGATTAAGATTGTATTGAAAGCAGAAAAAGAAGTTAAGCAATTTTGGCAAAAGTGTTTGGATTTTTCTGCCAGGTTTGATCCATCCCATCTCCTTGCAGTTGAACCACCATTTTAGCTCTTCCAAAGCTTTTTGATTTTGAAATAAAATGGCATCAAGAGTTTGATGTCTCAGTCAAACTGCCACGTGTATGGGCCAGCTTTGGTTCTTTGCGTATCCCGCTGCATTCCTGACCGGCAAGCCCCTTTTGAGATTTGAGTGCCACAATGACTGCGGATGGTGTCGCTGTAATCCAAGACATACAGTATGTCACCAGCTCACCGAGGATCTTAGTCCAAAGCTCCTTTTATTGACATTATGGTGAAACAAACAGGCGCTGTGGACTAAAATCTTCTGTGTGCTGGTGACATACTCTATGGTGTACGTTTAATAAACTGTGATAAAACTAGTTTTATCACGAGTTAACTTTACTCAGCAGATCTCTTTGTTTTTCTCGGCTGCACAGAGGCTGTTTAATAACCTGCGAAAAGAAAACTTATCTCACGTAACAGCTGTGAAAGGCTGAGAAGTTATCTCAGTGATCAGTAGAGAAAGCAATGTGGGGAATGTATTCTGAGCTGCACAATGACATCCTTTTCCCCAACCTTCCACTTCGCACCCCACCGCAGCTTGGCTACACTGTAGTTTGCACAGCTGAGCTCGGGATCGCCAGCGGCAACGGAGGGGGGCTAACAGAGATCAGATACCAGAGGACAGGATTGTTTTTGTGTAAGTCCAGTGACCAGTAAAGTATAGTCTACAGTAGGGATGCACCGATACCAGTGCCGATACTTGGCATTTTCATGAGAACTACTAGGGTTGCAACAGTTGCAGTTGCGGCTGGGACCTGGCTCTGGCGCTCCACCACGGCCCTGAAATCATTAGTCTGTATTGTTTTAGAAAAACTGTCACATGGCAATAAACAAAAATGTATCAGTACTTGTATCTGTAAGTACTTGGACAAGTATCAGTATATTTTCAAAAACAAAATCATACATTAAAACAGAGATGTACAAATCCCAGGAGCTCCGTGTGCGCCTTACAAATGACAGCGGCCTCCTAACTTTTTCATTTTTCTCTAGTCTAGTCTTTTAGCTCAAAGTATCTGTACTTGTACCGAGTATGGTACTTGGTATCGGTGCATCCCTAGTCTACAGTGTTAGGTCAGAATATATTAATATATTCATGTATTACCTTCAGGTACGTAGCCTTGCTTAGCCACAGCCCAAATCTAAAATAAAAAAGAACAAAGTAAGTTAAGAAGCTAGATTTAACATAAATACAGTGGGGAGAATCTAGAGAAGTGGCACATGGCAACCAATCAGCTTCTCTTTTAAGTTTGTTCAGTTAAGCTTTGAACAAGAAAGATAGAAGCTGATTGGTTGCCATGGGCCTGCTCCAGTTTGAGCAATCCCCCCCCATATATCAGTGTAACTGCTGCATCTATAAGACCTCATTTACACTGAGCGATATGGATATCGCACATTTTCATGCTGAGCAGCTTTGAGCTACATTGCGCGATATTGAGCGACCTTGCACGTTTTATCGCGTTACATAGCCCAATTTTTTTTGAGGGACTTCGGCGCTGCTGCATTGGGCTGTAACTAATCAACAGCGATCTTGATGTGACAACAATCTTTCCTTCCATAATGCAGTGCAAAAGTGACCCTTCTGTAGCGCGATGTTGCGCAAAAAAGTCGCGTAATATCGCCGGTAATGCGCAATTTTGCAGGACACCATGGAGTCTATTGGAGCCGAATAGCGTGACATCCGCGGAAAAAAAGGGTCATGTACGAGCGACAAGCTACAGGCGACATTGAGCTGTGAGATGTGAACAGCTCCATTGAAATGCATTGGACAAGCTACATAGAGCGATATTGCACGGAAATATGCGCGATTTCGCGGCAGAGATTGTGCGATAAACCGCTCAGTGTGAACGGGGCCTATTGCTGGCTATACATGTAAAGATGCAATCATTGGCTATAATGAACTTTGACATTAAATAATTATATCGTTCGGATATCAGTTTAATTAAATGAGGGATTTGATCAATAAACGGCCTTTGTCATCAAAATGGAAACTAACAGATCCTGCCAAAAGCTCTCATCCAATTTAAACAAATCCATCTTTGTCCAAAATGTGCTTTTGATTGAAAGATTGTTTGAAGAGATTGAATCTATGATCAATCATTTATGGTCACATTGTTAGGTTATATGATTCATGGAATTCCAAAATCTTCCTTCAGACACTTTGCCAGGAAAACTAAAGGAAGAAAAGGTGTTGGATGTTTCTAGCGCTGGGAAAATGTTGGACTGATCGTCTTCTATTCAGGTTAGAAATTAAAGAAAGAATATAAGAGGTTGCTATGAGTGACACGGAGACAGCTGTAGCAGTACATCGGATCCTTTCTTTTATTTCCTAACCGGTGCTGGAAAATGACATCATTGCTCTTTGCTCTGTTATATTGGTACGTTTGCTGTGACAACAGATTTGGGCCGTCGCTTCACCAGAAATCAAGTATCAAACCACAGGCTTCATCGCTTCCTGCCTCTTGTGACATTTGGGTTAAGCAATAAAAAAAAAAAAAAAAAAAGCGAAATTCCAGATTATCAGCACATTGAAGGACCAGGTTCATTATTTCCTTCATTAACAGAACACAGGTACAGCCTGTTGTTGCGGTTTTAGCTAATTCTATGGATACTCAGGAAAGTCAGCTCAAATGTGACAGGTATATAGCATGTTTGTTCTTACCTCGACTTGCTGAATATGCTGAAACTTTTATCATATACACGGCTGTCTAAATCATTTGTAGGGTCACCTTTTATCATATAATAACAACCACCTTGGGGTCCTATAGGTGGTTGCTATTGTTTATATATCCCACCGCATTCAACATCAAGGGGATTTGGAATTTACATACATTACAGATAGAAAGAAGAAAGATACTTATTGGCGGTCCAAGTGGGTTTCCGTCATATGAGTAATTGCCTTTATCATATACATACAATATCTGTCTAAACCTTCTATCTATCATATACTGTATATTAGGGACGCACCAATACCAGTTCAGATACCAGTGCCGAAACTTGGCATTTTCATGAGAACTATCAGGGTTGCAGCGCTTGCAGCTGGGACCTGTCTCAGGTGCTCCACCACTGTCCTGAAATCATTAGTTTTGCTATATGGCTTATAACCTTTTTGGTGGACCTGGTGGATGTGGTTTGTAAAGAAATATGACACTATAGCACTTAGTAAAGAACTTGTATAATGGTTTGATACATTTATAAGGTTTTGCAATGGGGCCCCACTATAGATTTTAAAGGTGGTTAGGGTATTGGTAATAAAGACATATTTATACGTTATATTAATGGCAGTGTACAGTATGTGCAGGAGTGTCCAAAACAATACAAAACAAAGCTTAACAGAGTGTCTAACCCTTCCCTATTCTCTCCGAAAAAATAGAAATTGCACTTACACACATTTTAATACTACAATAAAAGAGTGCCACCATATATTCTACATGAACCAACTTTTGTTTTTGATCAAAAGAACCAACAGGTATTTCTAATGGGAAGAGATGGAAGGCTGGTGACTTACACAACTGGGACACAGAGGAGATTCCTTCAGCCTTATCTCTACCAAGGTTTGTAGAAAAGGAACGCCGAGCTTGGAGCAAATCTGGCTGGCTTTCATGAAGAACGATGTCATATCCTGATGGCGCACTGGTCCTTCTCTATGAAGAAAGTGTCAGAGGGTTATGAATTGCTGTCACTCTATCAATTCCTTTGTCTCAATACCTCCTTACTTGTGATTCATCGTCAATATTTCCACACACACTTCTGGTTTGCCACATAACCTTCTTATGAGCTGTTCTTGCATAGTTACAGTGAAAAAGATCATCACAGCTACCCCGCTCTTACGTACGGTACACCCATTTCTAAGAATTATGTACATTGTAGCGGATGTCAAATTTATGGACCAGACGTGCCGTACGAGATTTCCATTTACATCTCAGTCAAAATGCCATATTTTAACCTGCCAGGAACCAAAGTCTTAAGTCCACCCGATTCCTTCCTCTCCCACCATGCTGCTACAGGGTGGTGCAGCAACTTACATGATGTACCAGAAGCCGACCTAACATGCGGGTTTTCACACCTACTTTTCATTCCCCGGCCATATAACCTCCTTCCCTTTTCAGCTAGAACTATGAGGTGAGTGAAAAGCACTCACCTCATAGTTCTCCTTTAACTCTTTCTCTTATCTACTTGCTCCCCATTCCCCACACCCACCTCTCCTAACTTACCACCTACTTTCTCCCTTATGGGCGTTAACACTCTCCCCTCTACCTACTGCACCTTATACAGACGTCACTACATCGCATGTTGGATCCCACATGGTGCTATTTAGACTAAGGGTCCACCTGCCTCAGTCTCAACTCAGTATAACACCCATCAAGCATCCCCTACCTAAAACCCCAAACAACCTGAAAAATCACTAGCCAACTTGGAAGCATCTGACATCTCTCCCTTTTCTTATGGTTTGCCTAGATAGCAGTTAATCTGAGCTACATGGCATTGTGACCTTGTTAAATGCTGACAGATATATCGACTATGTTTGTTATTTGTTACATAGTATATTAATATCATACCGAATGTTTATTTATACTGTGAAAAACAAATAAAGCTATAAAAAATATACTAACAAACTGTATAATAAAACATCATACTTACTGGTCCTTTCCTAGGATGTGACAGGAAAATGGAAGAGTAGAAACAATCTTCTCAAAGTCTCCCCGGGAGACAAAACCGCTGTGATCGGGATCATAAAACCGAAAAACAGACTATAAAGAAATAAAAAAAAGAGTAAAGAACATACCAGGGAAAAGATATATATACACACGCACACTATATGGCCAACGGTTTATGGACCCCTAACCATCACACTAATGTAAGCTTGTTGGATAATCCCTTCCAAAGCCATGGGCAATAAAATGGTGCTGGCTCCCCTTTTTGTCTGTAACATCCTCCACTCTTCTGGAAAGGCTTTCTACAAACTTGTGGAGTCTCTTTGGGAATTTATACTCATTCAGCCAAAAGAGAAATTGTGAGGACAAGTACCTGATGAGGTCAGGTACCTTTCAATTCATCCCAAAAGTAGGACTGAGGTCAGGGCCCTGTGCAGGTCACTTGAGTTCCTCCACACACCAACATAGTCAAACCGTGTCTTCTTGGACCTGACTTTCTGCACAGGAGCACAGTCATGCTGAAACAGAAAAGGGCCTTCCCCGAACTGTTACCACAGGGCTACAAGTGCTCATTTGACTCGAACATATCTTCTCGTGCTGTAGTATTAACAGGTCCCTTCACTGTAAACACCTGAACTCAATATGTTGGAGGGTTGGCCCATATAGTGTGTGTGTGTATATATTGTATAACATATGTATAGTTATTCCCCTTGATTTCCATGTGGCTACATCAGGTGGCATTTTGTTGGCTTTTTTTATTTTTACATTTTATGTAGTTGTGTCGATTCTTCTTTACACATTCTTCCTCCTTCTTTTCTGCCAATGGTCTATTCCCAACCAAGTGGATTAGGAATCCCAGACTACTGTCAGTTTAATGAGATACAATTTAACCTGCCAATTTGTTTCTGAGCTGTAGCAGGAAGCCAGGGCATCAACAGGACACCCAGTACCCTATTGTGGTACTGACCACTCAACCACTGCTCTGTGGTTAACCCCTAACTGTCCCGATTGCTACAAATTATATTGATTATTTACAATAAGCGTGCTAGGTAGGAGTTTACCAAACCAGAATGACTACAGTGAGATGCTTATGGTCATGCATACTTTTCCAATAAAGAGGTGAATGTGATGGGTTACCATGGGTCCTATACATATCTGTTCTCATTGTCATTCCACATTTTCACTATAGCTTCTCTAATTCCATACAATATTTCACAAACGCCTGTTTGTTTAGCTTGTGTGTGATGGATTGCTGTGTGAAGGGTTAAAGCACAACAGGAAGCGTGGTCAGGAAGTGAGTGTGTTCACACTCTGGCTGGCTGCAGCCAGTGATATATTAATGTATAATTTGCAGGAATTGCAGAAATAAATAACATTACAAGCTCTTTTAGTAAGTTTAGCCAAATGTGACAGAAGTGAATATATAGGGCAAGTTCCAAAAAGCTCCAGCCAAGGGATCTTGGTGATGGGCTCAGTTTCAGTAACACCTACAGTATGTCTCTTGCAACCAGGCACCCTAGCATTGGGTAACATGCATACAACCTCACACTAAGCCATAGTCATGAAAAAAAAAACAAGCACGGTAATGACAGGGCCACTTTAAGATGTTCACATGCGCATTTCTGTAATTGCAGTCTCTTGCCTGACATCATACAGTAGCCTCACCTGCACCATCTGCTCTACACTGCGAATGAGGGCTTCGGGGTCCGGCTGTATGGGAATTTCAGGGGTCCAGTGTGGAATATCAGAAGGCGGCTTACTAGGAGTGGCAGACTATAAAAAGGAGATGTGTCATACAAGCCATACAAAAAAAAGCATGCTCATTAAAAAATTTAATAAATTGGGTAGAAAATAAACATTTTGTGGGGGAAAGGAAGCAGCAACATCAATGAGTATCCTGTAGGACTGGGGTAGCCAAACTTCAGCCCTCCAATTGTGGTGAAACTACAAATTCCATCATGCATCTGCCTCTGGAAATCATGCCTGTGCCTTATGTACTGTATCTTGTAGTTCCATAACAGATGGAAGGCCAAAGTTTGGTTATGCCTTCTGCGGGACGTCAAAGCTGATTAATCATCATGGCTCCATGATCCCCTGTTAATGAAAACATGGAGTTAGAAGAGGATAAGGCCATTGAACCCTTATGGCACTTGCCTCTTATATTTCCCATAAGCCCCTGTTTTAATAATTGTGAAGTCAGTGAAACTGCACCTAAGGGTCATAAACAGCCCTGACTACTTCTCGGGCTTCCAGTCCTCCATGCTTGATATGGTGCCGTCCAGACGCCCTCTGTGGCACCTTTTGGCCCAACATCTGGTTATGAAGTCCAGATACATGTACCAATAACAGTAAGAACATATACACCAGCTGACAATTCTTGGTTAGTCACAGTGAAAGCCCAAACATTGAAGTGTCAGCTTCTTACCAGTGTTTTGGGACTGCGTGGTTCCCGCGTGTAGGACAAGGAGTAGATCTCATCTTCCGTGTAAAAGGTATCTAAAGATGTCTGTAAGTAAAGAGGAAGACCTGCTTATATCACACCTCGCTGAGAAGGCCACTGATAAATGTCTTCTCTTACATATCAAACATTACATTCTACTAAAAACAAAATCTCCACACATTTTAATTTTGGATAGAGGAACAAATGGTCCTGTCATGTGTTCATTGAGTCTATGTCCCAATTGAGGGATTTCCAATCAATTCCTGTCAAGACATAATAGGCCCCATCAACTATACATGGCACCATGTATATCTGTGCATACAATTGTGTGCACAGTGCTCCTAATAAAAAGAGGTCCTTGAGGGACGTTTGTGCACATAGATATACATAGTGCCATTTATATAGCCGAGGGGAGGAGGTAGCCGGCAGGTTCCCATTAGGACACTCCCCTGAGGGAGCGGGCAGCTCTGTGCTGCTCTGCTACCTGCACTTCTTTCTTTCCCCAGTGAGTACCTCAAGGACCTCTGTTTATTATCTTGTGACACACGGCATTCTGTCACTGTGGAGGGAGTAATACAGGGAGCTACAGCAACTCACTGTATCGCTTCTTCTTTCCATGATCAAGACGTAATCACCAGGAGAAGAAAGAATTGCAGTCAGCAAAGCATCACAGAGCTGCCCGCTTCCTCTGGTGAGTGTCCAGATGGGAACCTGCCAGCGACCTTCTCCCTCTTCCCCTCTGCTCAGCTAGGCAGTGGTAGGAAGCAGCTTATTCCAGCCCTGTCTGACGCTTATCAAAAAGAGTCAGCCGGTGCAGTGTGCAGATCTGCGCATGGTCAAAGCAGTCGCAGGTCTGCGGCTAATATCTGTGCTACATTGCAGCACGGCTATTAGTTTATAAGGGGCAAAAACTGCAATATTCCTGTGACATATCCCAAGTTGTGCTTTTCCTGTTCCTGGTACATATGCTGCAGATCCTACTCAAAATAGGTGCACTAAAACGTTTATTTGGCGCATGTCAAGTACCTATCACATGTGCGCCAAAAAAATGTCGGCACAACAATAGTATATGACATTCAATAGGGATGCCGATAAAGTACAGTACTCGGTACAAGTACATATACTTTTCGAGCTCCAAGACTAGACTAGAGAAAAATTCAAAAGTTAGGAGGCAGCTGCCATTTGTAAGGAGCACACGGAGCTCCTGGGATTTGTACATCTCTGTTTTAGGCCTTGTTCACACCAAGCACGTTCCAGGAGCAGAGCAGTTACAGACCGGATCAAAACTGCGTCCAATATATTCCAACGGTATTTTGGGCTCTAGTTCACACTGCAGCGTTCAGTTCCAGAGCATGTAAAAAAAACTGCAGCAAGCCCCATTTTACCTGCTCTGGAATGCTCTGGAACGCATGTAAACGCCCTGGAACGCACTAAAAGCCCATTATAAACTGATTTTTTTTTAACCAAAAACGGCTTGGGATGCATCAAAAATGCGGCACAACCCACTGCATATCGGTGCATCCCTAGCATTCAATGTACATTATTCTTTTGTGAATGGCCATACAGTATATACTTAGTCCTGTACTCACTGATAGCAGCAGTATCACATCCTTGTTGGCTTGGACTGGCGGAGTGGCTTTCTGCAGTTGCCGAAGCTCCAGGATGTGCTGGTACAGACTCTGCAATTTGCTGACATTGATTTTCCCATTGTCCAAATAATCGGGCAAAGCCTCATTGAGTGAAACCAGGTCCTTAAGCTGAAGGCCGAGAATTGGAATCTTAAACCCACCGCATTCGTTGTAGACCCTCCGATATGTACTGTAGTTACTGCTTGAGGACAATAACTCGGTCATTTCGCTGAGTGTCTGCCCAAGAAAAAGCACGAGAGAATTATTCTAGAGGGGCATACTTGCCTAAAAAACTTACAAGGTGTTATAATTCCTGAATCAGAACTAGAAAAGACACCCAATATGTGTAGCTGTATTAGATCATTTAAGTTTAACAACAACCACAATGTTTTCTTCTAGGTTTGTATGGAATGAGGAAGAGCTAGAACTTTTATCACGTTTTTTATTGCTACAGCAATAAACCTTCAAACCAGTGCTTGAAGTTTCCAAACATCGATATAGTCACTTCTCCCGCGATCATCTGCACACTCAATCCACCGCACAAACAGAACAAAACGCCACCGACCAAAATCAACTTGAAATCCACTTTATTCAGTAATAAGTATTTTTTTTTCTATGCTCTTCAGCTATGCTCTAGTGGCCATACTGCAGTATTACATCACATTACATTCAACATTAACAGAAAATATACAGTAAACTCCCAGTTATCCGGCACCCACGGGGATAGGTAGGTGCCAGATAACTGTAGTTTCTGCTTGCTTGAGAATTAATAGTAACTCTCAAACAACTAGACCCCTCTCCCTTTCCCACTCCCCACAGACCTGAGAAAGTTCTCTCCCAGGACTGCTGCTCTGCTCCGTGAGCGGGTGCATTAGCCAGCCTGCTATTGGCTATTGCAATTTGCAATAGCCAATAGCAGGCTAGCTATTGAAACCCCGCACACTGAGCAGAGAGACGGATCTGAGAGAGAAAGTTGTCCTCTGCTCATTGGGTGGATACAATAGCCAGCCTGCTATTGCAATTTAAAATAGCCAATAGCAGGCTGGCTATTGCTTCCCATTGTTTACATTCTGCTACCAACAGTGTAATCTAGCCGCTGGTAGGCAGCAAGATGTGCTACCGTGCCAAAAATGGTCCATATATCATTTTAGCGCATCGCCAGCCAATTCATTTGAGTTGGCTGCCGCAATGCAGTGCTAAAAAAAATGCACATTAATGCAACGCACCTGGATGATGAGGTCTGAAGCCTTAGTCCTTAGGGTTCCTATCAGTTTTTTTCTCTGCTATTCGGGTCTATGTTAGAAACTTTACCCTTACTTCCTGTCCTGCTGAAAATGTATTATTAGACAAAAAGAGAGGGGAACGCTCCAACAGCAACACAGACAAAAATAAAAATTACTCTTCAGTAAGGATGGACTCGGGCATGTTGGCAACTCCACGTGCAGAGCCCGCCAGGAAGCTGACAGCACGCAGCGCCAATCACAGGTACTGAGACATTTTCCCGGTCCGCAGAAGCAGAGATCGGGAAATGTCTCAGTGCCTGTGATTGGCGCTGCACGCTGTCAGCTTCCTGGCGGGCTCGGCACGTAGAGCTGCGAACACGCCCACCCATCCTTACTCTTCAGTAGACAAAGGGAAGGCTGTGCTGTGCCACTATTGGTCGCGCACCATACTATAATGACTTTGGGCGATAGTGCAGTACAGAATGTTAAAAAGTAAGAAGGTCTTCATTTCCTCTATGGTGCAACAGTTGTCAGCAGGACAGGAAGTGAGGGTAAATCTCTCTAATGAAGCCCTGGAAGCAGTAGAAACCCAGCAGGAGTTCTAATGCTTGTGGAGTGAAAAATGCACACAAAAAAGGGAAGTGCACAGACAATGGAGACAAATAAATATGTGCCAATGTGCAGTACAATGGCTAGGCACGTGTCCTGGTATAAAAATGACCACTCTTCTTAGCCATAAGGCAGAAAAAAGCGGTGTCCTGGCCTAGTGCTCTTTCACACATTGGAGTCTCAGACCCATAGTGCTACTCAGACACTCCCAGGGCGCCACTACGGGGGGAAGAGCTTGATACGACGGGCTTTCTGCCTTCCCAGTTATTTATCTAGGCAAACTTTTACAGCTATTTGTTTATCTGATTCTTGTAGTAAAGCCAAAGAAATTGAGCTAGTAGTATGCATTATACTTTTACTATACAACAAAGCTACGTACACAAAACGACTTTGATATAGGTAAAAATAATACAAAATACAGACTGCTACAAATACATACACTGTACATACACATGTATACACTATACCCTTCTCTAGTACATGCAATGGTTTCTATAAGTGAATACACTAAAAAGCTTTGGTTTTTGCTGGTCTGCAAAATTCCACACTTGGGTTTTTGTCATTGCTTAGTGTTGTCATCTGTCCAGTAAAGTGCTCTGGTCCTCACTGAAGTCCTGCTGATGGATTCTGCCTATCTATATTTATCCTAGTCGCTCCCATTCAGTTACATGAGGAATTCACGATTGGTCCAAAGAACATAATCATAGCTTTCTTATGACAGTGATTGGAAGGCAACTGAAGTCTTATCGAAACTGCCATAAATTAATGTTCCGCTGTATTCTGTCTCCGAGAACAGTTTTAATATTGTCTTCTTAAGTCAACAACAGCCCTGACTTCCTGAAGCACCACATACGTACGTACAGTGTCTAGATTATTAAAGTGACCGTTGATTTCAGGGAAGCAAAACAAATGGCAAACGCACTCATCAATTTGTTACCAGCCTTACAGCAAGGTGCACATGAAAGGGCTTTATACAGTACAACAGCAAAAAGTTTCCCAGCACACTCACCAGTCAGTGCTGGTGATGAGTGCGTTTGCCATTGGTTTTGCTTGACTGATTTGGTGCAGTGACGCATGGGGGGGTCTAAGCTGCCGTTGTGATGTGCGGGATCCCTTGTGCGTCCCTGTGCCTTTCAGGGAGGTTGGGCTTCCTCCTGACAAACCTGCACCCAATTTGATCTTTTGCCACATGTGCTCCAAGATGGAGACTCTCATAGTTTAGTGTTAGGACCGCACTACATAGAGGTGCGGCTGTGCGGCTTTCACATTTTCTGCAGAAGACGTGTATCTAAACCTCTGTTTTTAACCTTAGTAATCAGAAGGCTCTTTGGCTAGATATGCACTTTAATTCTGTTCTCTAAGCAGAACTTTTGTGAATTGTGACCCATTCCGGAGAACACCTCATGCACAGCCTCTACTATATGTGCACTCAGTTCTTCATATACCAAACACAAAACAAAAATTAAACAAGTCGGTTCTACTGCTGAACTGTTTCCTGTGCTGTAACTACCTTGCAGGAGGGTAAAACCACGGAATGAACAGCGAAGAAATCACCGTTTTGTTTCTGTGGCGAGGACTTGTGGTAAATTTCTTAGAATGAGACAACGTGGTGGATTGTGACAGAGTTCAGGCTCAGCTGTCACACTCACGTTAGGCCGCGACTCACACCCTGACACATATCAGACCATTGCGTCCTACCCTCTACATATCATTCTCCCATTATGACACAGCCCTCCACCGCCTCATTCTTTACTCAACATTTCCAGAAAACATTTACATGCAATAAAGACGCAAGACGGCTGAACTTTGGGGTGAGAAAGAAGCAGAACGTCGTGCACAGAACAAAAAGGAGATCTACCTGAATATCCTTAAAGTGATATTAAAGTCAAAAGGTTTTTAAGCCCTTTTAAATCTGATTAAATAACTTACAATGGATGCTGCTTGACTTTTAAATGTTTTAGTTTCTTGCAGAATCAGCTGAGCACTGGCCCTGATATCCTGTTTTGGAGTGGCTCCTTTCCCTTGCAGGGTCCTATGGAGCCTCCCTTGTGTGTGCTAGTAAGCTGTGTGTGTCTCCACAAACACACAGGGAATGCGAGGCAAGACACTCCTCTGCTCTCCACTCCTTCATCCTCCCTTCTCCAAGCTAATCGATAGACAGCTGCTGATGACTGCTCTGTCCCTTGTGATCTTGTACCGGACAGGAAATTCAGGGAAGCTCAGCTGGGAGAGTTGGAGCTGTTTGGAAATGGGATGACTGAAAGAGCTTGGGCAAAAATGGAGAAATACTTTGCTGGCCAAAGTATATTTAAAAAAAATCTGGAGTCATTATTGAGAATAGGTTTGACACTTTAATAATAGTTTAAAGTGTATCTATGGTCAGAAACTAAGAAGAAATATGTATTTCTATATTGAATTTCCAAATTTCAAAAAAATAACGCTACAATGCGGAACCCTATTGTACAGGTACAGCCCAAGTTGAATTATAATTTATTACTTGAGAAATATACAAGTTTATTTTAATTTAACCCATTTGCTGACAGAGCCAGTTTTGTGTTTTATCCACACATGTGATTATCCACATTTTAGAAAAATAATAATCCACATTTTAGGCCTGAAAATTACTTGACCCCCTCCCCTCCCCGTAATTATATATTTAATGAAAGCCAAGACCCTGTAGAATAAAATGGCAGCAGCTGCAAAGTTTTAAGTCGCAAGATATTAACGCAATTCTTTATCAAACCCAAAAGTTCAGTAAAAAAATACGCTTATGTTAATTTTAGTGCACAAAAACAAAATATAATACCCATTTTTTGGTAAAATATACAAGATGAGGTTGTGCTGAGTACATAGATACCCAACATGCCAAGCTTACAAATTGGTGTGCCACTGAAAAAAATAAACAGTCCGTGTACCCATCGCACTCAGAGCCGCTGCTCCAAAAATGGAGTGTGGGTGGGGGAAAATATCAGTTTATCAGTTTCCCTTCATCAGTTAACAAGTTGTTTGGATGATGAAGGGGATCCTGTGAGACCCTGAAACGTTGTATAGAGTGTTCTACTTGCAACTAGTACATTAATAAGCATGTATTGAACTTGCTTTGTAGTGCCAGTGTCCATCCTTTCCTGAAAAAAATATGGTACCCCAAATTTTCCATAGGCAAAGATTTAAAAGCCTGTGCAGGTCATCCGTTTAGAGTTAACCGTGACTGTTGGTGCTAGAATGATTGCTCTCACTCTGGCTCATGCAACAATACCTAACATGTGTGGCGCAATCATAATTTTTGTACATAGGTGCTCCCAGTGTGGGTTTGCTTCAGCATGCGTGGGTTTGTTTGGTGTTTTTAAATTTTTTTTATGTAATTTTTTTTTTTTTTTACTTAAACCTATTGCTGTCACATGGGGGCTCACGAGTATAACTTCTGTCAGCTTTTGTTTAACATCTGTGTCCTATTGAGGAGTTCTCCCTTCACTTCCTGTTCAATGGCCACAACAGGAAGTGAAAGGAAATCCCTCCAAACTGAAGAAATGCCTGGTGGTCAGCGGGGTCACCAGAACTAGTGTCCCCATCTATTCCTGTTCTGATGGCAACCAAAATTTGGGATTTTCTTTCACTTTCAGAGAGAGCAATAAAAGATTGACCGGTGTTCTAATCCCTCTCCACTCTATCCACAACCCAAAAAAGTTTTGTCTTCAGTTGCACTTTAAAGGGTTAATTAATAAAAGTTCTGCTCAGCCATGCCGTTCTGGTGAGTTACTTACGAGCACCGGTTTGTGGGATTTACACTGTTTGGAGTGATTGGGACACAGTAGTGACTCAAGATAAGTGCAGAAGATACGCTGTTATTTAGGTCTCATTCAGGTGGACTATTGAGGGCAGGAAGTCTGCTGCATGCAGAGGCTGCTAAATGACACATCTGGATGAAGCTGCACTCTGTCCTATGGCTGCAAACAAACTAGCTGCGACCAAGAAGTGCACGACCAGAAATGTGGTCCCAACGCCATCCCTGAACGCACACTGCCTAGGCCCCCGGGTCAGCGAAAGGCTCTATCCACATGTAACCATTGGATGCAAACAGTGGTAGCTCCGGTCGGGCATTGTTTTGTACAAATCCTACAGCCACCGCTGCTGGCCGAGGCTGTTCGCACACCTTGCATGCATTTAGCGTATAGCTCTCTCGGAAAGAATCATTGGATTCTCTGAGCGGCTCCTCCCCTCCCCCCTTGTGAATGAGCCCTTATGCAGAGACTTCTTTCTTTTACTAATTTGGAATTGATATTGAAAAGCTGTAACACAGTTACACTCAATAACGGTCTTATTGTTTTGTCTTTGATGTATATTTCTGTGGTTTTGATTTTACACTTCGTGGGTTGGCTCCATTACTTTATTTCAGGCAGAGGTTATATTTACACTTATAAGAGAGCAGCACCTGCATTCTGTGTTATATTTGACTCATTTATAGATAGCACATCATTTTCACTCTATTTATTGCGCTTAGTTCTTTTTTTCTGATTAAAAAAGTATCAAAACTCTCAAACTTTTTCTCAATAATGAATCCAAATCAAACAAAAATACATTGCCCAGTATTTCTTACTTTTCTGTCCACATCATTATGTTTCTGAACTGCTGGCTCCAACTCTCTCAGCTCGGCTTCCTTGAACATCCTGTCCAGTACAAGATCACAAGGGACAGAACAGAAACTGTCTATCTACTAGCTTGGAGAAGGAAGGAAGGAAGAGCGTTGAGTAGGAAAGTGTCTTGCCTTGCTGTGCCTGTGTGTTTGTGGAACCAAAGATAGAACAAACGGGGTGCTACTGCTCTTTGTAGAGTCCAATATGGTATTTTATTTTAAAAGATCAATAGAATAAAACAGCTAATGCATTTCGGGGGTCCACAATGTACCCCTTCATCAGGGCTTATGGGTTACATTGTGACTTAGTTCCTTTCAAATGTTATAAAGTGATACAAAACAATAGTAAGCAGAGATGAATGACAGGATTTTTAGCAGAAGGAAATGTATTTGCGGAGAGACACACACCTTACTAGCACACACACAAGGGTGGTTCCATAGGATGCTGCAAGGGAAAGGAGCCACCCTAAAACAGGATATCAGGATCAGTGTTTAGAGGAGCAGCTGATTCTACAGGGAACTAAAACATTTAAGAATCGAGGAGCAGTATCCATTGTAAGTAATTTCATCAGCATTTCAAATAGCTTTTTAACCTTAATAAATTTAAGCCACCACTGTACTCTCCTTTGAGCTAAGTGGATGGTCATCCAAATGCCCCCTGGTTGGTCAGATTGTCCTGTGTTTCCACCATTATGTAAGCTCTTTAATCAGTGGTGGGTCTAAGGAACAGCTCTGATGGTCCATTAGCACACCATTAGCACACCATCCAACCCTCACTAGACTAACGGCTCATTTACTGTAGTTTCCTGAAAGCTGTTTCAGAGAACATAAAGACCCCCAGAAGCCCTACATCATGGCAAAGAATGCTGATAAATGCAGTTCACTGAGGCCTATGTCACCATAGATAAGACACAGCAGAAACATCACTTCTGTATCACCGATTAGTGTGACCTTTGGGAGCCCTACAGTGCTAATAATCAGCTGACCAAAGAAAACAGCAGAGAATAAAGGCATCTGGAAAATTCTATGGAAAAATCTAATGGAACATTATTATATAGCTGAGGAGGAAATTAGAGCAAGTATATAGCGCCATACTTGGAGTTCAGCTTTAACCTCAACCCAACCTACTTCCTAGATCTCTCAGCGGCTCTATTGATAAGATTTCACTGAAGGCATTTTATGTCTCTGTCTTCTCCAAAAGGAGCCAAAATGATGATGTCACTCTCTTGTGGATGAAGTTTCTGAGTTATTGTTCAATACCTAGCCTAATAAATACTATCACAACAATACAACAAACGTGACAATTTTGTTAGCTTTCATCTAGAAAAGGACAAAAACCTGCTCAGAACAACCCACACCTCTCCTAGCTCCTCCCAAAACTCCCAGCCTGACCCAACTGCTTTGGCCACCATAATAGGTCCCATTTCCTCAATGGATGTCCCATAATGGAAAATAGAAAATAACTCAGAAACGTTTTCAACTACAAGAGAGTAACACCATCATTATGGCTTGTTGGGAGGAGACAGGGACATAAAACAATTCAGGGAATTCTTATCAATGGAGCCACTGAGAGATAGAGGAAGTAGGGTCATTTAACTAATTCATACCAGAAAATGGACCATGGTTTCTTGGATGGATTTAGCCTTTAATTACAAATCCTACACAAGAAAGAATTCCTTCTCACTCACCTTTAGGACATCGTGTGACAGGTGACTATGCGTCTCCTTTAACCTGGAGATGGCGCTGTGGCACAGTCCTCCAATCACTGCCATCAGCGTGTTAAAGTTCTGGAGTTTACGGAGTTTCTGTAGATAAAACATATACAATGCAAAAAGCAATATTATAACCTCCATTTTTTCAAGGGGCCAAGAAATAACAGATTACCCAGAGATGAAACTAAGCTTCTGAGGCCCCCAGAGATATTAGATGACAGTCTTACATTGCATGCTTCAGATATATTCCCATCTTTTGAACAAATACCATTTGTTTTTATTTTACTGGTTGTGAACAGGCTAAGAATAGTTTGAGAATGTGCAACTAAAGTGGCCTCTGGCTCAATAGGTTCAAACTTATGTGCCTAATGGCAAATCTGGCTTTGGCTGGTGCATACAAATCAAGGGAATCAATGTTGAATCTAATGAAATAAATTATTCACCATTTTAAAATGCTACTGTCTAAACGTGAACATTGGCTTAATTATAAAGCTTACACAATGTTAACAATACCAAGGCCTGGATTTCCCACTGAAGAATGGATAATCCAATGGTTGGGTAAATGACAATGAAAATGACTTGATCAGGTGAAAGTGTGGGCCAATGTACTAATAAATGTGACAAATCTTTTGACAGCGGTAAAGCTGAGAATGACACATTGCTCCTCTGGGGCATCTTAAACGTCCCCCTAAGTGTGGTTTAAACAGGCCGGGCAAGTTTCATCTTCCACAGACACAAACACAAAGCTAAAACACAAGCAAACATATTATACAGACAATGAAATAAAAACCTAGAGAAATGCAGAGTTTGTCATTGCTGACAATACTAGTTGTCTGGCTCTCTCCAGCTTTATAACTTTGAGTCACCGAGGAGAGGCAGGGATGTGACATCATCTCTCCTCCTACAAATCACAGAACGCCTTGTATTCTTTATAAAAATTGCAAAGCGTTTTGCGAATGGGCAAGTAGGGAGGAGGTACGGGAATGCAACTGGAGCACTTTACTGCTGAAGTCATATACCTCAATCCCTAAAGTACCTGGAAGCAGAGTTGTCCTTATAATGAGGCGGCTTGAGTTGGTTGCCTCAGATGGCATCTCATTGAGTCATATGGTGGGCTGCCCCCTGTCCGGCCAGAGCATCCAAGATTCCTAAGAGCTCTTAGCTACCTGTGATGCTCTGTCCAGCATCCCGCCCAACCCACTAGTTGCCGGGAGCTGTTCAGGACGCTGTGGCTGGTGTCCCACCCAGCTCCTAGCAACCAGTGATGTACCGTACATGACTTCCACTTCCCGGTAACGCACACTGCCAGCGATCCTTTTGAAAAGTCCCAGACCCCCCACCCACCCCTCTGAGACCGTGCGTCATCAGCACCCCCCCCACTCCCAGCCTTAGGCAGCTAAAAGTGTAGGAACACCCCTGCCCGGAAGACTGACATTATTCTCTCTGTTCATAACTAAAAAAAGTGGTGGTTATACATACTCTTTAAAACACACAAAGTTACAGAACATAGAGAAGAACTAGCCACGTGGGAATTATTGGTGTATATCTACTTGAATAGCATTGTATACACTGAAAATCATGCATTATAATGGACAAAAGCAGGAAAATGGACAAAGCCCTAATATTCTGCAGACAACATGATACCAAAACATAAAAAAAGTACAGCTGAATGAAATAAATTTTTGCTGCGGATGTGATACAAACATAACACAAAGCGCCTTCTCCTTTGTGATTTGGATGAAGCGCTATTCAGTTCTCACCTGAGTCACGTGGATGAATTTGGTGAAGACCTCTGCTCTCTGCTGTGGTGCTGGTCGGTTGAGGATCATGAGCTGAACCCACTGTGAAATGCTGTTACATAAGGAGACCGATCGCTCCAGACGAGGGATTTCTCGCAGAGAACTTTGCAAAGTATAGCTTCGATAGTCTAAATGCTGACGCAGAGAGGTCATGATCAGATAACAGTAAACATTCTGTATCAGCTTGTCAGCGCACAAACTTAGCTAAGAACTAAAAGTGGATGTATAGAGTTTTGAATACATTTAGGGCTTTTTCATGCATTCACCTGTCTATTTTCCATTGGAAATACATAGGAGATAAATTGATCTGTTTATTGCTCTATTTCAAAAGCCTATACACAGAGGTCAATAACACAAGGTAAAATTTACAAACACAATAGAATGAGTCCGAGGAGTGACTCTCCCCCACCCTGCTCAGACAGGGCTGCACAGAGTTTCGTTAAGAAACAGAGATAATCGGAAGGTAAACAGCTTCTGCTATATTTAGAAAACCCCTAATGCAGGGTGTGGATGCACCCTGTATTAAATGTTAACTTGTAAATAGAGATTTTGCATAAACAGTAAAAATTTAACATATACATACGTTTAAAAACATAAACCTAACAAAAAATGACCCAAAACTATTGTAGTTTACGTTAAATAAATATAATAAACCAGGCATAAAATGACACTGGAAGACAAACAACAAACTGCATTTGATTAGAAAGTTCAATCCATGCAATGACACCATTTTGCCATTGTCCATGTGTGATTCATACACTACATGTAGCAGGCATAAAGTCCAATGTTTTTTCATATTAAAAAAAAAAACATATGAAGATCGTTTGTAAGAGACACTGTATATTCATAGACACACATTGCCAGAAAACCAATCAGTATTGCTGGAATTTTTCAATCATTCTTCATAGGCAGAACACACTATTAGTATGTCTAGTTTTCCCTCTTAGAATAGTTACATGACTATTTTCAATACATATGCACATTTTCTGTTACTGTACTTTTTGTCATAAGAATCATTACGGTTTATGTATTTTTTTTTTATAAATAAAAGATCACCATCAACATAATTTACAAATCTGGCAAGAACTATCTTATGTCCATGGATTACTGAGCAAGCCATAGATGTGAATAGGTAACCAATTAGAATGCATGTTCCCACCACAAAATTACTATTTTTATATAAGGCTGCACCAGCATATTGCCCAATACTTCATTTTGACTTGTATATGGAGGAGAGCAGCAGGAGAGCAGACATCCTCTTTTCCAAGTCAAGCCTTATCTAAGGATTTAAATAAACCAACCTAGCCAATCACCTGCAATCTTGAGAACTCATATCTTAAGCGGAGGAAATGAAAAGCTTCAATAATCGGTTATCCTAAATCTTAGAGGATCTTATGTATACAAATATGCACAGCAGAATGTGTCCATGTGTTACAGGATGAAGTAGTCTCCGGAACTCCAATATTTGCACTGCCAATCCTTATTTTTTTACGTAAAAAGGTAATTTTACAATATAAAGCAACGTTTTAGAACCATGTCGGTCCCTTCATCAGGCAAACATCAGGCAAACTTTGTTTGCCTGATGTTGGGACCGATAGGGTTCCAAAACGTTGCTTTACACTGTGAAATTACCTTCTCTACGTCAATAAAGAAGTATTGACAGAGCAAATATTGGAGAGTGCCGGTGACTACTTAATCTTCTACGAATTGATTTGCGGTGCCATCTGCAGTCACTGAAGCACCCACCCGGGTAAGGGTAGATTTCGGTCAGGAGTGCGATGGAACTCGCATACATGTGTTACAGGAAAACACTGGATGGAAGATGTTGGCATGGCTGCCTATACAGCATCTTTCAAAGTCTTGAAACGTGAAACAATTGTTTTCTGAATTCTCCCCCCATAGTAACAGACTCATCAGAATTTCTGATTTCCATCTATGAAATATCGACTAGATATCACCTGACTAAAGTAGATGGTAGACCAGACCACAAGTAGATGGTGACAGCTTGCATTGGCAGTAGGAGACAACACCTGGAGACACTTTTACTCAATGAGCCTATATGTTATAAGGGTGTTCCCATATCGTTTTATAGTCAGAGAGGGCTCCTTTGTCTTGGCTGTACTTTCAAACATCCTTTCATTTTTCTTCAGGACTGATGTAAATATAACTCAGCCAGAGAACACTCCATTAGGTGATGCCTAAAGAAGAAACAAAAGTCTCTTCATCCAGCATAATCACTAATGCAAGCTTCCAACATCTCCACAAAGGCCACATTGCACAATGTCTCCCATCAATGAACTACAGTGAACAATCAAATTGTTCACACCCTTCAGAACTCTTTCCTGTGACACCCAGCTTAATCATGATGAGCAATAATTAAACAAAACCTTTGTAGGTGCCATTTTACAAAGATAATAATAATAAAAGAAGAAAAAATAACATTAAAGACCCTAATCCAGTCTCTATGAGTTCAAAATAGTTAAGTGTGGTTATTAGCCGACACTTCCCATCAGTTATCTGGTAAGCCAGTTCCCATACTTTATTTTCTCGTTTCAGATAATACATATAAGATTCTGGATTATGAATCTTTTAGAATTCTTACTTTTGTAAGGTGGCTACTAGAAATTTAGTGATTGCCAGAACTGTAGTCAGTCTGGCTGAATTATAGTTGGTATTTATCTGGTTAATTCCGCGTGTTCTGGCATTAATTGTACCTGCCTGATTGGAGTGTGACTCTGCTGCAATGTGGGACAGCCAATGAGGGGGATTGTGTGTGCAGTTCACCAGCCAATCACTGGGCCTCTCACAGCCAGTGTTGCATGCTGGAAAAGGGCATATATACTCCAGGGAATTGCCATGTGCTCAGTCAGGTCACAACCATGGAGTAGTCCAGGTTGGGGTGCTGTCCAGCCTGCCCCCAGGCTAGGCCTGAGGCCTAGAGGGTGGGAACCCTTGAGTGCAGGAAGTGTTTTGCTAGGCCTCAAGTCTGGAGGAGGCCTCGGTGGCGGTTGGAGGAGGAGAACCAGGGAAACTAATGGCTACTGGAGGTGCCTGGAATAGAGATGACCTCAGGAGCAAGTCTGGTGTCTCTCCTACTGAAGATTCTGCGCCAATCCCTATCCAATTGTGCTGCAAATGGATCTACACTGAATTACTAAAAAGGGAGTGGTGAGTCTTTTTTTTAGAGATATTTACCGTGATCCTGCAGAAGCATTTAAACTCCAGGTAGCTGAGATGCTCTGCCAGTTCTGATGGTTCCAGGTGATCAAATAGAAGGGAGACTTTCCTCTTCTTGTTGAAGCTTGGAGACTCTGGAAAAGTACTTATGGGTTCCTGCTCAAATCTGGCATAGAAAATAATAAAAAGGAAAAGTAAACAGTGATATAAAAAAGCACAAGGAAGAAAGGGGAAAATCAGAGCAGAAGAGAGATAACTAAAGCTACCTCAACTAACTGGGGAAAGAAAGTTTAGAGAAACATGAATTACAAAAGGTCCTTACACGCTTGATGCGTCAAGACTTTGCCGGTGGTCTCTTGACCATCTGCGCTCCTTAACCACCTCCCAAAAATCACACATCAGCTCTTCCAGTTGACTGTCAAGCCGGAACATCTCTGGATATTGATTTACCCAGAACCTGCAGGTGAGAAATAGGTGAGGTTACCATTAATACACACATGGGCCTTTCTTATAGTGTTTGGGTATGGACACAATCTGCAGAAAAGTTTTTTTAGATTTTCCATGCTGTTAACATTGCTATAATCTTTCAAGACATTTATCGCTCAAATAGCACATACAATATAAACTACTCCTCCATGATAGAATTGTGACTTTTAGGCACCATGATTTTGCCATCCGAGTGAGTTATGGACGATAAGGCAAGTGTGAGCCTGACACTTTAAGGTGACAGTTTAATTTGTGGGCTTTACCAAGGTAAGGGTTATGTTAATCATTAAGGTTAGGGCAGGGACAGGAATAAGTGCTAAGAGTTCATTTTAGTGCCAAGTTAGAGGTTGGGGGTTAGGTTTAAGGGTTGTGGACATTATCTGCTGAAAGCTTGCTTGAAGAAGAGCCCTTCAGACTTCTCTTTTGCTTATTGAACGCTGAACTCTGTCAGAACTCCTAAAACCAGGACTGTTGAGTATTCACCTTTTATTTTACTGTTGTATGTATATTTTGTCTCTTTTTAGAAATATCTTTTTCTGTATATTTTCTGCACCGTTTCTTTTATTGAAGGAGGATCTTAAACATCATTAAGCTTATCTCTACGCTCTGAATACGGACTTAAAGTATACTTACCTCTGTGAAGAGCGCTACTGTATAGTGAATCCTGTCATATTCCTGTCTGAGAGGACAGAGGTATCATAGGCTTTGTTTAAGTGTTTTACATTGTCGCAGAACTTGCTGGGCACGGTCTGTGTTTCCGTTAAAAAACACATGGTGGCAGTGAACGTTTGTGGGTAAAGGGTTAACTGCGGAGTTACCCAACCCTGGTGATGATCGCTCTCAGTCTGCTGGCCTGAGATTGTGTCCCGCGAGCTGGGGAATCTCTGTGCAGGGTGAGGCTGAGCGTTGTATCGCCACGTCTTTGTGACGCCATGCTCGGTTCAGACTTGTGTATAGTCACGTGTGATTGACGTACAGTGGGTTTGGGCTGGGGCGTACGCCACATATTCCTTGGTGTGGTCTCTGGCAGTGATGTACAAATCACAGAAGTGAATAATCAGAAAATTTTCCCAGGCAAGACAGTTCACACACCAGGAGAACAATACGGAAAGGAGATGTACACTTACCGTAGGAAATGGCATATCTGGTTCTTCCTCTGGCTTTGATCTGCTTCCCTGTAGGTAAGTGGTAGTCAAGGAACTCAATACCATTATAAAGAGATAAGCAGAACATAATCTATATCAAGAACCCTGATGAGGGGATCTTTGTCAGTGTTGATAAGGATATAGTTGAAGAAGTTTTTGTGCAAACTCTGCTGATGGCACTATCCAGCTGTGCATTACAAGGACCATGTTAACGGTGTCCTCATTTCTCCAGATCCTTCCATCCGCATCTTTTCAGTCACCGGAGGCAACAAAAACAAGTAAGATCTGGTAAATGCAGTGAACTTCTATCATTCATAAAACAGACTAATAACCCAGTGGGGTTTATATATTAAAATGTCTGAATTTTAGGTATTATATTGTAAACATTTTTACACATATCCTGGAAAATGGCAACAATTCTGATTGGTTGCTCATGGGTAGCACAATAAGTTCCCATTTAATAAACACAGTTCGAAGAGTTAATTGGCTCACGGTGGCACCTTAGAAAAAGCTAGACAGTTACATTGCAATGGGATTATGGGAAAGGAAGCCAAGGCAGCCCTATCTCTTGCTTGTGATGTCTACACAGGCTGCTAGCTGACCACTCTTGAGGAGGAATGATCAAATAAACATCAGGTAAGAAGACCTGTTTTGACCATAGTTGTTCTCCAGACCACAAGCAACATCTGCCCATTGTTCTTCATCCCACCCTTATTGGTGACCCATTCAGGACAAAAACAAAACAGGTTGCGCTAAATCCCTTACCCATCCACAGCAGTATATTTTACTTTATTTCACTCCACCACCAGTGCCAGCAGCCAAAGGAGTTTCCAGGCACTTTTAAGTATGGGAGAACATATGTCTCACTGTGTGTGACAGTGTTGGGATAATCTGTCCATAGCCCTGTGTAAGCTTTGACTCCAGGGACTCATAGCTTACACATGCCTTACATTTTGCACCTGGCAGCTGAATAGAAACAACCATAACAAGATACCATGATCATGTCCTGGTTACATGGTACAAAACTTTGTCTACCAACCTTATAATTGCCATAGGCTTACAATTCTATGCCATGTGTACCTAATTGTGCCGATGTAACTTTACCAGTGCAACCTATAGCCTGATCGACATATAATGCTCATTTTTTTGTCTGACAACTTATGGAAAATATTAGTGTATACAAAACAAATCAACCATAAAAGGATTATGCTCTTCATACAAAGGGGGAAAGTACATGAAGCCAATCTGTTACCCATCTCAGAAGAAGATATAATGTTCAAGGTTTCCTTTATTGTTTTATACCTGAAGAAAGGTTGTATAGAGATATAACACACAGATGTAAGACATTTGCCCTTTTTTGACACACAACTGTAAGACTGTCAACTAATGTCTAGGAACTACCTTATTGTTAGGCAGCATTTCACACAGTATGTGTAGGATGAATAAAGTTAAGCCCCTACCCTAGCCAACACTAGTCCCTTTAAAAACATTTGGTGATATCCTCACTTTATGTGCTCAGACACCAGCAGGTCTCAAAAATCTGCACAGGGACAGTTAGGAGGCATTTTGTGGACATTCCTTACATCAAACTGCCCACTCTCAAAAATAAGAGTGGCTCAGAGGGCAAGAGGCTTCACTTGTCCCTCTTGTGGTAGGCTTTCCGGTTCCATTTTACAATAGAGTCCATTAGATCCATGGTGAACCACTTACCAAATGACTGTATGCATTTTTCCATAAGTTCATCAAGACTGCAGCCCTTCCCTAGTTGTTCTAATGTGACAGTCATCAACGCCTTGTTAATCTCAGCAGCGCTTGGGCAGGTCATACGTCTTCTCCTCCTACTCGGATTGTGACGGCTCTTAACGAGGAGGTTGACTCCATTGCTGCTAATCAATTGGCTTTCCTGGCGTGATTTTCTGGGAACATACACATTCAATGCATATTATTGTCTGCTCATAAATTTGTCTGGTAATAACATTTTCATAAAGTATATATATAGTTTTGCTATCTCCCAGACTGCCCTGAAAGCATTAACGGTCAATGCAACCAAAAGCAAGATCTCATCTCTGTCTGATGTGCCGACGGTAAGATTTTCTCACAGCAGTTGGCTCCAACCCAGGCTATGACAATGGTGTTATTCGTTCATATCGCTGAATACTCAGTTTTTTGTTTGTTTAACATTCTGGAGGATCCTTTAGGAGAGTGTGAGTCCACAATTTGGATGGAATGCAAGTTGTGGTTAGATAGAACTGAGATTTCTAGGGGGGGTATCTTAGACAACTTGACAGGGCTGGGTAACAATCTTTGGCCTAGGGACAGAGCAGAGGTAAGTGTGATTTACATTATTAAACCTAGCTTGCTAATTCAGGGGACTAGTTTTCCTGAAAATCTTCTTTTATAAATAAAAAAAAATAAAATAAAAGTGGACACAACCAGATACACTATATGTTCACCATTGTCTTCCTCTAATTTTGTTTATCTTTCAAATAAAGGTTTTATATAACACGTGAGGATGAGATTGTCAGTGTCATGTGCCCACATAGCAGAGGATCTGTGCTATGTGGGCATGTCTTGTGCTAATGCTGTGTGTGCTATTAAGAAACTTATAAGTTCTACATTTCACAAGGTGTTGAGGTCCACAAATGTGATAGTAATGTTTATTACAGAATTTATACTTTTTACGGTAGGTAGTTTTTATCCAGTACCATTTGTAGGGACCCTGCAAGAAGCTGGAGTGTCCCTTGTTTGACAGCTAGGCAGTAGCCAGCCTGAACTTTGTTATTGTTATTTAGGTTTGTTAGCTATCTCCTACAGCAGGAGTGCCCATTAGGTCGATCGCGATCTACCAGTCGATCGCAAAGCGAACACTGGTAGATCGCCATCGCCTGTGTCCTGTCCTCCTGCGGTGCTCATGTGCCCGCCGGCTGAATGTGTCAGACGCAGCAGACGGGAAGTGGCGGGACACCTCTCCCTGTGTACAACGTCGGCCACATGAGCACCGCGGGAGGACAAGACGCTGGCGCACGAGAGGAGACCTGGGAAGCTGCTGTAGTGGAGGTAAGAAAAGACAGACAGGCAAAAGACAGCAGAGAGAGTGAGAGAAAAGACAGCAGAGAGAGAAAGAAGAAAGACAGCAGAGAAAGTGAGAGAAAAGACAGCAGAGAGAGAAGAGACAGCACATAGAAACAGGGGAGAGAGCGGGGAGAGTGCGAGGAGAGAAAGAAGAGACAGCCAAGAGAGAGGGCTGGTTCACACCACAAAGTCTGCGTTCCAGAGTGTTCAGCCTCTAGAACGCACTGGAACGCAAGCTGGCTGGCTCCCTGCATTCAGGGGCGTGGTGTTGTATTGAAGTCAATGGCACTGCAGCCACGCCCCCGCCCGCAGTGCGATCGCCCGCACCTGGAACTCAGGCACAATAGTGCCTGCGTTCCAGTCCAGCACGATCTGCATAAATAGTGCTTGCAGTGTTTTTGCTGATTGCAGTAGACCGGAACGCAGGCACTATTGACTTCAATGCACCGCCACGCCCACTCTCGCCGCTGAATGCAGTTGTTTTTTCCTTGGTAGATCTCACTGATCTTGTCATTTGAAAAGTAGATCTCCAGATGAAAAATAGTGGGCACCCCTGTCTTACAGTATGCCCAAGGACTTTGTTTTCCTCTGCCTGCTTCTAGTGTTCTCCAGTAGCTATAATAAGAGGATACACTGTATTGCTTTAAAAATATATTTTTCATCCTGGCCAATCACTGAGAGGTCTATGTTAGTGATGTGGGCTGGGTAAGGCTCCATTCACATAAAGCGGCAACGCAAACGCTAAAATCTTTAATCCGCACAGATTTTGCTTATTTGCGGCTTTTCTATCTGTCAAAAACCGCGCTTGGACTAATCACGCGGTTTCGTATTGCGCGGCCGCTGCAAAAGTCTAAACATTGCACACTAAAGTGCATTGCTTTTTCTTTTTAGAGCGGCTCCGCACGTACCAATGCTTCTGTGTGAATGAAAGCCTAAGGGAATAAATATCTAGAAAGGCCTTAGCCTCCCAGACTTTGCCTGAAGAGGATGTCGTTTTAGAAGGTCCCTTGCCTCCTATGCCTACTACCTGGGGAGGATGTGAGGTCCTAGTCTCTCAGCCCTGTCTCTCAGCCCTGCTGCCTGGGAAGGATGTTCATGTCTCCAGAGAGAACCAGTTCATACTTCACAGGCTTAAATGGTCCACAAATAGCCCTGAGAGGGGCTAAAGCTACTTTAAGGTAACTGTCCAACTGACCTGCATAATCTGCCTATGGTCTGAGGCAGGTATATGCCCCAGTGGCTAAAATGTATTTAAATCCAAAAACAAAAAAATTATATATTGCAGTTTACTAATCCTTACCAGTGGTGGCTGCAATACTTTTCAGGCTTTTCCCCTTAATTTTCACCTAGTAATTCTGCCAGTAACACACTTCCTGTCCTAGGGTGACAGCACTTAATCACTGTACTGTATCTATGGAGAATTAGCATTACAGAACACCTCTCCTCCTCATCTTCATAACATGGAGGGTGGGGGTGTTCTATAGTTCACAGAGAAGCCTACAAGTGTCACACAAAATAACCTGTTCATCGCCCACAAATAATTATGTTCTGTTGCCATAGTTCGACTTTGATTATGTCTTCCCTCATCAGCAAGGCTTTAGGGAATGGCTGTAAGTTTCCATTTTGCTTCTCTTTTCTGCCACAACCATTCATCAACCTGTTCACTCCAGCAGTCCTTCTACCCTAGCATGACCAGCAACCACCCAAACCAAACCAAACCATGCCCTTAAAGCAACCCTGTCATCACAATAACTCTGCCAAAACAGACATACTTGGTAAATAAGAGAGAAAATACCTTTCCTGCTGCCCGCTCCAGAAGGGGGAACCTTTAAGGGCTGCGGGGGTACCCAGTAGGAGAGGTTTTCCCTCTCTTAATTTGCAGGTAAGTCTGTTGTGGCAAAGTATTATCACATGTATCACACAATCACTTTTAGATTGTAAGCCCTCACGGGCAGGGCCCTCCTAACCATTTTGTCTTGAATTGTATTATAATTGTAATGTCTTCCTTCTATTGTAAAGCACTGCGTAAACTGTTGGCGCTATATAAATCCTGTATAATAATAATAATAATAATAAGAATGATGATAAGAAGAACATGGAGGCTGCCATTATTGAGCTCTCTGTTCTGCTGACCATCTTGCTTCAATACTTGAAGTCATTGACCTGTAAGTGTGCCGATTAGGATTTGTGACATTGCTCCAAATTTCCTGATCTGCAGATTTCTTCCAGGTCAGTGACTCAGAAAGGGTTCTGCCCAGTAGGTCAGCATAACAGCCAGGCAACTAGAACTTTCAGAAACAGGTCAGTCACGGTAGTTTCCTGTATTTCTTATGGCAGGTTTACTTGAATGCCATCTGCCGACAGTGAGCAATCAGCAGAATAAAATCATCGGTTTTGAGACTGTAAATCTCTGAAGGTTGAAGAGGCATGGAGTCAAGAGGTCCAAACACTTTGCCAAGTCACTACTAATTATTGCCTATGCCTATCCTAGAGCGGACATTGTAACTCTACAGAATATTTAAACCTCCCGAGAGGATACTATTGAGCCTGACACACTAAAAGGTATTCAACAGTATGATACATAGAGGCCGATCTATAACGGAAGGTGGTTATCACTATCAGCTCTCCAGTATACTGGAGAGCTAGGCTACGCACAACATGGCCCGCATTTTGTATCCCATTTATAAAATAGGAAACCAGCAATACCCCACAGAATTCTTTCTGCCTAATGCAGCAGAGAGAACTCCATGACATGTGTGTTTGACAGGTTATGTGACTGGGCTCTCTTCCTGGCTTTTGTTTTCTTTGGCTCTCATTCATTTTTTGTTTGCACACCACGACTTTGGACTCTCTAAGCCGATGGCGTGCAACGCACATTTGTAACGCACACTGTTGTGCTTCATGAATGTGCCTTTTTTTAAAAGCAGCGGTATGGCCACAGTGTCCCACCATACTACTGCTGTTTAAAGGGACCTCATTTAAAAAGAATTTGATACAAACGAACCTTTAGTGGTCAGCTACTGTTCGGCTGATCATTGGAAAGTTAACCAATGTCAAATAGGGGGTCCCGACGATGAGGCCACACACTGGTCAAATTCTGGCCAAGTCAACGGGACTCAGTTGTAATCCTGCCAGTGTATGGACAACGTAAGTTTTGTCTTTAGATACACTTTAATGACGATGCAGAAATGTCATGTTAAGCAACGGCTTGACAAAGCTCTTTTCTGCCGGGAAGGGGGTGGAAGCCCTTTAAAGCCACACGTCTAGGCTGTCACATACAAAAACAGATTTAAAGGTGCAGTACTACATCTGACATAATCAGACCCAATGAGAGTTATCTGCCACCGATCAGCCTCTTGCCCATACGGGGGTCCGTCTTTCTCTTTCAAAATAAGTCACCTAAAACTTTGTACAGCTACATCTCCATAACAGAAAAAAGCAGAAACCAGGCAAAATAGGGAACTGATCTCTTTCATCTGTTGGAGTTGTTAATGCAGTCGCCTTGTAATATACCATCAAAGTCATAGATCACGCATCTCAAATACACTCTGCCGACATATCGCAGACATCAGAAGACAAGTGCATCGCTTGCCAGAATTGCTAGCCAAAGCTGAGAGCCCAGAATCCCTTGGGTCTGACCAAAGGTTGAGCAGGCACACTCACCTCTTGCTGTCCTTGCGATTCATGTTGCTGAAGGGCTGGAGGGCAGACGCAGGGGCTGTGTTCCTTGGGGTCTGCACAATTCCCCTATCTAGACTTCGCCTTCTTCAGACCCCCGTGTCATGAACCAGAGGAGAGTTGGGGCACTGTGACTGACAGGGGAGTGTCTCTTGTAGCTCAGTTAGATAAAGAGGAACCGTCTGCAAAGTGTGTCACTAACAACACATACAGACTGCAGAGAGAGCTCATACCAAGGCTAACCATAACTTACGAAACATGGAACTAGTTGCTGCATGTCTTAGATGTTAACCCCTTTAATGTACAGCTCCTCTTGCATCATGTTATGCATTATCTCGGAGGCTGATTACGACCACTTCACTACTGGTATTCTAACACTGGACCTGCACTATGGAGATAACACTTTTACTGGGGACTCATTCACACACATTCCGTTAATGGGCTGCCAATGCATTACAACAGATGAAAAAAAAAACATGCATGACCCTAATTTGACAACGCGTTGTGCTCTACTGGAAAATGCTTTGGGGTGGCATTCACATGAATGACACTGCAACACACCGCACGTAGCGCAATTGCACTGGCATGCGTTGTGGCAACATGCGTTGATGCAGCTATCTATCTGCTAACATGGCACAAATGTCAATCCCCATGCAGTTTCCCAAACCATATGTCAAATATCTATCTATCCTTTTATTTTCTATCTGCTAACATAATACACTTACCTGTAAAGGAAAATGGCACATATGTATATCCCCATGCAGCAGACCGTCCAATTGGAACGGTGTGTTTAAAGCGAAGATGCTGTTCCCAGATTACAAAGTAAAAAAAGATCTCCATTTTATAAACTCAGCATTTTAGAGTTGTCACTGGAACAGAAATGGTGGGGAAATCTTTCTAGCTGTCTAAGAGGGATTTCCCCTTCCTTTCTGTCATTTCTATAGTGAAGGAAGAAAAGGGTAATCTCCCCAACAAGACACAGACATTGTTGATTGGTTTTATTACTCACCAGTCAAAAAAAAAATAGTTTTGTCCTTAGTCACATATTTTAAAGCGAACCTAATTTAAAGGTCAAACTTGGCTTAAAAATGACAACACAAAAAACCCCAAATCGAACCTTTCTTTATTGTTTCTTTATTTAGAGGGTGTGTGTGTTGTTTTTTCTACTTTTTTTGGGGGGGGGGGGGGGGTTTTTTTGGTTTTTTTTTTTTTTTTTTTTTTTCCTTTTTTTTTTTTTTTTTTTTTTTTTTTACATTTTCTATTTATTTT